GTGCTGCACAATACAATTGCTCAACACTCGCTGACGAACCAGTCCCCGAGCAGCAATCGCCCCCTCCCAGTGAACTCCCCCCAATTTATATACTGGGCCTGACGGCCCGTGGTATGGAATATCCCTTTTGGTAGTTCGGGTCAGCTCTCCTGGCTGTGCTCCCTCCCAGCTTCTGGTGCATCTCCTCTCTGGCAGAGCATGGGAAACTGAAGAGTCCTTGACTTAGGGTAAGCATTACTTAGCAACAGCTAAAACATCAGTGTGTTATCAACATTATTCTCATACTAAATCCAAAAGCACAGCATGGTAGCAGCTCCTAGGAAGAAAATTAACTCTATCCCAGCCGAAAACTGTAAAAAATGGTTACAAAATGCAGCTCTGTCTAAATCAGCTAAATCAGCTTTGTAGTGATAATGAAATAAGTCGAAACATATTTCTGGTTAGTAAAGCAATTAGGTATAATTCAGGATAAATAGAGAGGGTAAAATTCTGTTCCAAAATGTGCTGGTCTAAACACAGAATAATGGCATTAGTGAAATTAAACACAGGGCACATATGCTTAAGCAGGAAAGAGCACATGACTGCATTTTTCAGAGAGGGATTACCAATTAAAGGACTGTCATTCTACATTTTTCTACAAGAGGGTACTGACTCCTGGGACAGTGATAGAAATTTTCAGAAACAGCCTGCATTGTCTCTAGTTTTGACAGGCACTAATGTAATTTTTCTGAGAAAGAAAGACCTACTGGTTCACCTATGGGCCCAGGTGGTCCAAGGACTGTATTGTCTTCGCCTGGGTAACCCTAAAACAAAGATAAGTATTGAAAAATATTAACTTCGAAATTCAACCTCATCTACAACGCACACATGTTCAAATGCTAATAAACACCCAGAAAGTATACTGTGTAGATGCTAAAAGTGAACACGATGCTCATGGTTTTAATACAGTGCAAATGGTAACTCCATTTTAACATGCACCTAAATGACCCAAAGACATTTAGGACTAAAAAAGCTAAGTATTTGCTCTATTCTCAAAGGCAGCTATAAAAAAAAAAAGTATTTGAACAATGCCCATGTAATCATTTCTTTATTTAATGAAAAAAAAGGATAAACAGGATATTTGACAAGAGGAAGAAAGAAAATTTCTTCCACTGTTTTGAGTAATATACTTAATATAGACAAACAAGCGTACAGAAGACTCCAACTGAACTCTATTAAATTTTAAATATGAAACAACTGCCATCCAAACTAACAGACAAAAAGTTATCTATTCCAGATTATATTTATGAATATTTAATGCAGAGGCTTACATTTTAAATATGATTAAGGATTTCCAAAATGCATCAAAATGCTTTTTCAGAAGTGACCAAGCAAGCTAGACACCTAGCTCCCAACAATTTAGTTTACAGTTATTGTTTCTGAAAATTGTATCAGAACCTATTTATAACATCAACCACTAATTGTCTATTAGTAGTATTCATTGCAAAGCTGGCCCTAATATAAGAACATGTTTCTCTGTCAGGTGCAGCTCCAAACTAATCTTTGTGAAGGGAATCCCTGTACCTGCTTGGGGCCATATCGACTTCAGTCAGCATACCAAGCTGTTTGCAGGATTTGAGGCTTAAAAGAACAACAGTGAATTTAACACTAAAATAGGACCGAGGCAATATCCTGCCCCTAATATTTTATATTAAGGACAGACCTTTGTCCATCTTAGTTGGATTTCCAGCAAAATCTGTGGGTGTACTCACAGGCTTAAAGTTAAGTAAATACTTAGCTGGTTCCGCACTGATTATTTGTCAGCAGTGCTCACTAGGGGCAGTGGTGTTATCTGATACAATAGAATGTGTTTCTTACCTTGTGTTTTAAAACCTGAAACATTTCAACTGTGTAATTTGTAACTCTGCCTCTGAATGATCCATTTCCCCAATTTTGCATTTCTTTTCATATTCTGTCACAACATTAATAAATATTGCAAACTGTGGCTTTTGCTGCTTGCTGTGGAAAACAGTGAGCACGCAGTAACACTTCCTCCCTTTATAATTACTCAAACTGTAAGATAGTGTAATCCATCTTCATACCTTTTCTCCTTTGGGTCCTGGGGGTCCTGGAGGCCCTGGAGGACCCTGGTGACCCTAAAGAAGCAAACAAAACAAAAATTAGTTCCAAAACAAATAATTAAAGAAATAATTAATTCCAAACTTTCTTTTAGCTTCTTGTAACTATTGTTTTTTTGCTGCTTGCTAATAATACTAAATAGTGATGTGGCACAAAATTAACGAGCCCAGGCAGAAAATGTATTGTGTCCAGGAAAACCTCTGTGCACAACAGGAAACCAAAGATTCTGGCAGGGCTTTAATGCAGGTGAGGGGAGCCGGGCTGGTTCTCGCTTCAGGATTAGGGCCACTGATGGAAGTTTCTGTTCAGAAAAAAGACATGGCAGTCTGGTCTGTAAGAGCAGGACTCAATCCATCTATGATGATGATCATAATCGTTTTTCAGCAAAAGCCACAACATCTTTATGCCCTTCAACTAACCTCATTCAATCAGTTTCTGTTACTGAAATGGAAACTGCCTGGCCAGACAATAAGCAGAGGTGGTGGTCTTTGCTGAATACTCTTTATAATGAATAATTGTAGTAGTTTTATAGGAACTTTATTCACAAGGGGTAAGAGATATTGGACAAACAAGGGTTTCAAATCTGTGGTAAAAAACAACTGCTAGTGAACTCACAAAAAACAGTCACCGTTGCTTAATGCTAATATTTCTGAGTAGGCAATCATGTATCATATAAACATATGTGAGTATCTGACACTCCTAAAGATATTTGTGTATTCTAGATACAGATCCCCATTATACTTGAAATTATTTAGAGTACCACAGACTTACTTAGGGATGTGTGTGTACATGAATTCAGTAAAAAACTCACCCCATAACCTGGAATTCCTGACTCTCCTTCAGGTCCCAATCCTCCTAGGTGTCCCTGTTAAATGCAATAATCAGTGATAGAAAAATGAGCTCCCTTATAAAATGTTACAACAATGCCTACTTCATAAAGTTATCACTTGGAAAAATCTTCAAATACTGAGATTTGAGAACCACAGACAACTTCCTTGTTGGTTCAGCTTCATTTGGTATAGAACACCGGGCTTTTCCCTGTTCTGTGGAAAAAATTGTCAAAATTTTCAGTCCTAACCTTATAATCCCTGTGCATAACTAAGATCAAAAGGATCTGAGCTTTCACAGGTCCAAAGGAACTCTGTTTATAAATGCTAAGCATGCTAAGAGAAGCTGAGGGCGGTCCTCACCTTCGGAAGTTGAGTCCTTCTCTTGAAAATACTGGCCATTAGATAGTTACTTTTCTTCTGTACTTCATGTGTTCAGGGACACAATGCTGCATTCAGTGGCCACAGAACTAGGCTCTGGAGCAGTGAGATAGGCACATCGCCTCACTAGTGCAGAGGCTGCATGTGTCTGTGCATCTCTCACAGTGTGGAGCAAGTTTGGGGAGCTTGTGATGAAAGGAGCTCAAAGTTAATGGAAATGCACTTAATTCAGTTAACTTTGGGGCAGATTCCCATTCAACAGGAGTAGCAGTCCTCATCTGAAGTGCTTTGTTTCAGCCACAGCTAAGGCTTATTTTATGTAACAGCAAACTCCATCATTTCTGTTCTTGGAACTGGAAAGGTTTAAGAAACAGCCACAGCAGTGAGGTCATATGTGGACCGTGAGGCATGACTGTTCCATGGCATGCCCTGCCATCCTGCTCCTCTGACTGTCAGATCAGGAACCTGACCAAAGCATGAGTTGACTCCTTCCAGGTCCATGACCCGGGTTTTCTGTCTGGAAAGGTATACAGGTCTCATTCTGATGTTGAAAGGCCAGGGCATGCATCGGGATGCACAGGATGGGAAGAACACTGCCTGCATCTCCAGCGACCTCAAAAAATATTCGTATGTGCAACAGCTGTGACTTGCCTCTTCCCATGGAAGGACATGATTCTGCTAAACCAGAAGTACATGCACTCTTAAATAAGAATGTTTTGTACAAACCAAGGGACCCCGAGTTCCTCTTGCACCTTTGGGACCAGTTTCTCCAGGTTGGCCAGAGACACCAGCAGGTCCAATTTCTCCAGGAGGGCCAAGCTGCCCCTTTTCCCCCTGTTGGTGTTATTGTATTAGAAATAATAAGAGACTGATACTAAGTTTCAAAATGTAGTTTATGCTTAACCAAAGTGTGTAACAGCATTATTTAATAGGAATATTACATTTACATGTCATTTACTGCAGTTCTTAGAATGTCTGAACTCAGAACTCTGCAGTGAAAACAACCCTCTGCTAAAGTCCTTCTATTATTTTTGTTTTGTTTTAGCTAAAGCCTAACATTTTTTGGTAGCAGCAGAAACCATTCGAGTTGCAAAATCACATCTTGATACAAATTTGAATTTCCTAAGGTCCTGAATGTTATTGACTGCAGAATGATGGCAATTCTAATTGCTATGGCTAGCAAGAAAAAAAATTGGCTTGAAGTATGACATAAAACAGGGACAGACTTGGTTCAATGGAATAATTTTGTAATGTAAATTTGAGTTTCAGATAAAAGGAAGAGAAGTGGGGAAGATGAAAAATAGTACCTTCTTTCCTAAACGGCCCCTCTGACCTGGATTTCCTGGTGTTCCTTCAGGGCCCTGTACATTTATTAGAGAGAGAAAAAGAAATGATTGAGAATGGCCTGAAAACATGTTTAAACTGTGCTCCAAAATGGATAACTAAGCAGGCTTTTGCAATGCAGAGAGGTGGGAGGAAAAATCTCATTAACTGTGGATGTAAGCAAGTTAGTAGGTCTGTTTCAAGTTACAGCAGAAACAAGTGGGCAAGCATCAGGGATCACTTACCAAACTAGTCAAAATCCACTGAAAATAGGGGGAAAAAACACCCAATAAATCTTGTCCACACAGAAACTATTACTTTAGGAATAAAATTACTTCAAGACAACCACTGGATTTACAGAAATACAATACACAACCAGAGGAAAAATAACAAAACCTTGGGGCTGTCAAGCATGAAGAGCAGAGCCCTGGCACAACTTGCTGAAGAGCAGAGACCTAACTCAGTTGGTGCTGGTGCCTACCACTGCTCGCCAATTGGGTGTGGTGCCTGCAGATGATGGGTGCTATGGAGCTACACCCCTGCTGCCCTCTAGGTCACTTCAAAAACTGACACTCCCAAAGGGCTGGATGTGTCCACCGCTCACCAGTTTCAATTTACCCAACGGCTCTGTGAGTTAGAGGAGGTAATTTAGCTTCAGTTTTGGATAAAGGGAGAGATATTTGGGTTTTTTTGAGTCACTGTGGTGATAAGCCAGGGTAAATATAGTTTAAACTGATTTGTGAAGCTTATTTGTTGCTTTGTAAGCTTTTGTTTAATGAAAATGTATTATTACTCTCACCTCCAATAAAACCCTCAGACAATTGACTATATAAAACCAATTTCCGTGTTTAGACCAGGATGTTATGATCTGTCCGCATCCCTAGGAGGAGGTCAAACCAAAATCTTGATGTGAATAGGCCCAGATGCCAGGGAGGATGAGTGGGGAGGAAGGCAGCTCTGCAGCCACTTTTGGAATAGGTGGAACAGAAACGTGAAAAATCCCCCGCTAACCACATCCTCCCAAACATCAAATTGCCAGACCCGCCTGTCTCACTGAAGCACAGCAGCACTGCTGATTTTGTTTACTGTATACAAGTATAATTAACATACAATGTAGATATGCCAGGGCTGAGCTGTTTTATGCTAATTTCAATGTATGACACTTTCAAGCTTCTCCAGAACTGCCAAAACAAAACAGAGAAAACAAAAAGTCAGGGTGATATCATTGTATCAGAAACAAAAACTGTTCTGTAGCACACCAAGTGTGCTGACAATTAAAAGAGCATTTTTTTTCTTCACTACGAAAGCAGTTCACTGTGAAGAACCCAGGACTAAAGACAGCAGATTGTAACACTGATGCTTAGAGGACAGAGGGGACAGTGCTCACAGCCGTTGACAGCTGGCCCTCCAACTACTGTTTACTCAGACTCCACCATCACATAAGAGCTACAGAGAAGGCAGTCAGAGGACTGCAAAAGAGAACATGATGATTTTTGGTAAGGGGATCTGATATCTGACTTGAGGCTACATACTTGCTTTGGAAATTGCGCTCAAAAATATGAATTCACATTAAGAAGTTGCATAAAACCTCAGCAAAACAGATTTTATTGGAGGATTTTAGCTCCTAGGAGTGATGCCAGAACAAATAGGTGAACCGATCCAACAATGTTGACCATGGATCCCAATGCTCATTTACTATTTGACCTGTGTATGCTTCCTGCCATTTCTCTCCATCTGCAATCTCTGTTTCAGTTGTCAATGGCAACTGCTGCTTTCACGATATGTTTATTTAATTCCTTTCACAGAGGTATCAGAACAAAATTAATTAAAGAATAAATATATTTTAAGAACAAAATGTAATAATGAAATTCATTCTTTCTTCTGTCTCCTTACTTTTTATAGTATATGCCTCATTACAGGGTGATTGACAAGGTAAGAAGAGAAGGTCCACCAAAGACATGACATTATACCACAGCACAGAATTATCATCCGAAGTAGCACTGCCTGGCATGATAGACTCTCATTTCTGGAAGTCAGTGCCAGCACAGGATGGACAGCATCCGTAACATTGTCTTTACAACACCTTGGCAGCAGTGTAGAAAGACCACTGTTAGGAAAGGCAGGCCATCCAACTGATCAGGAATCAACAGCAGAAATAATTTGATATCTATCACGTGACACTGGTTTTAAGTCACTTTTGACCTGCCTTGTATGCCTTACCAGGGAAGGCACTGTAATCCACATCAACATTTTAAGAAATCCTGTGCTGTTGTTGTCTGTGCTGCAATAATTTTGTAACTAAAGAAACCTCAATGTTCAGGTTATCACTTTTTCTCAAAATGCTATTTTTAGACCTTGTTTTTGTTGTTAAGGTTTAATAAAAGGAATGACAGCTAAGCATTTATGTGGTAAGAACATTAGCACAAAATATTAAATTGGAGCCAAATCTTGTGTGCTCTAAGGTGTAACGCTTCATCATTTACAAGCTGCTCAAAATGGCAGTTCTTTGCCCGAAGGATCTTTTAATCTTAACTGAAAACTAGATAGCCCTGGGACAGTAAACAAAGCCACGAGTAGGGAAAAAAATACAAAACAATGAAAGATCTTACAGCACAATTTATGGTAGTATATGCATCTTGCCAATTACTTTGGGTATTTTTAAAATTTAAAGAATGATCTAATGCCTTGAGATTGCTCACAGTCTCCAAATGAAGGTGAGGATAGAGAATAATGACAGAAGGATGTCTGGAGAAGGGAGATCTGAAGTGAAAGGCTCCAGGTTGTGTGGTGTATGTGTCTGGATGACAAATGGTGAGGAATCACTATCTGCTAAGAGGTCCCAGATTTAAGATAGGAAAAACATTTGTCTCCTCTCTCTACCAACCCTGAAAAACTGAACCACATAGAAAAGGGAGGCAAGCTAATTTAAAGATGGTCAGCTCTAATTGCAACAGAAAATCAAAAATAAAATAAGCAAGCAAAATTAAAAAGAAAATAATTACAAAAAGAAAATGAACAAAAAGTCCATTTAAACCTGAAAACACTTACAGGAATAAAAAATTATGCCAGGTTCACCAGGGGGTCCAGCAATTCCTGGTAACCCCATCTCTCCTTTTTCACCACCTTCTCCAAGAAGTCCCTGGTCTCCAGGGTCTCCCTAAAACAAAGCAAAAAAAACCCCCAAAACCCCAAAAAACCCCTTAGTCCAGCTGTTGCTACAGAATTACTTATTCCTGAGAAAAGTGAATTCTGAATCTTCAAGTTTGACAAAAAGCACATTAAAACTGATGTGACATCCCCTGCCCTGGCACCTGCCACAGTCCCTGGCACAGGATTGATCCAATGCAGGGAGTAGAGCAGCCTTGGGCTTGCTCTCTCCAGCATGATAGTCACCACAGAAATAAGCTGTCCTCAGTTCTCCAGTTTGCATTTCTCTGTCAAGCCATTCAACTTTGCAGCCCTCGCAGGGTAGGTCCTGTGCCTTTTAGGCACAGGAAAGCCTATAACATACAGGGCCTCCTATGTTAAAACTAAGTGCACTCAATTGGTCTCTGTTGACCTGGTGAAACAGAAGAAAAAAAGATTTAAGATTAAGCTAACATGACTGCTTTAAATCTGCTACAAAAACTGAATATACCTTTGGGCCATCTTTTCCTTGAACACCGTCTTCTCCTGGAGGTCCTGGTTCACCCTTGTAGAAAGGAATAGTTGAAAACAAAATTATTGCCTGAACTTCCTGACATAGAAGTATTGCCTAGGAAGAACTCAGACTAGTTTTACACATGCTTATTATCTTTGGGACAACTTTTATGTTGCTGTTATAGTTTATTTATCTTAATTTTTCATTAATTTACAGTGACAAAATCACAGCCTTGTGACTCTCAAACACAGGAAAACATAAAAGATGACCAACATTAGAAAAATGAGGCAATACTATGTCCACATAACACTGGAGATTTGGATGGTGGCACCGAGGTTGTTTGGTTTCAGAGTATACAACATGTAACTACAGTAACCTCAAAAATACACCTATTCTGTCCTGAAACTTCCATGTTTATGTGGATAACTACTATATAGGTCTGTTTAGTGACTCAGTTTAGGGCCATGAAAAACTCATCATTTACCAACAGGATCAGCACCATAGCATTTTAGAATATTTGCCTTTCTTAGGTAAAGACACTGGCAACTGGCAACTTTTGATGCAGATAGTAAAAAAGCAAATGTTGCCCTATACTAAGAACATATTATTTCAGATATAGTGGTATGGTTAAGTCCAGAGCACCCACTGTGGACCAGTACCAGGAACTACTCCTCTTCAACGACAGGCAGAATCATGGAATGCACCTCACTGGAGATTTTGGGCAGGAGGAAAAGATGATAGCAAGGAGCTAATGGAACAAGAGAGCTCAATGGTAAGACTTAATTCTAAAAGGATATAGCTTACGCTCTTTTTAAAAAGTGTCCTGGATAAAAACTGTTTCTAGCACTTTAAAAGTTTTTTTTCAGCCTTCAAAGGTAGGGAATTGTGTGGGCCAGAGGAGGGGGCTAAGACACACAGGAAGAGTATGCAGGGGCACAAGCACTTGGTAAAATCAAGTGCCAAATGAGCCATCCACAGTGCCAGAAGCAAATCAGCTGATTTAGATGGTGGTACAGAGAAATATCCTGCTCTGCTGAGACTATAGTGTTCCCATTATCTCACCTAGACTAGGTATCCATACACAGCATTATTGTGTGCTGTCATCTTAACAGCTGGGCTGGACACCCTTGGATTTACCTTCATGCTCAAATCAGTTGTTCATGTCTCTGAGTGACATGAGACACTTAGAAATATTTCAAGATTACAATCAATACTCCTTCTTAACTTGCTACTATTACCATTTTTTTAAAGGTATCAGAAAATAGCTTCTTACTGAATTCTTCTGATAAATCAAGATTTCTCAACCTGCATTTCTGACACATTTGTAACATACTTTCCTTTTTGGAAGAAGATTTGCATCCATAGCTCACCCTTAAACCTTGGTCACCTGGTTCTCCAGCCTTCCCAGCAGGTCCAATGTCTCCCTCGAATATCACAAGAAAAATAAATAATTGGATTTTAAGGGACAATATTCCTAACGATGACAGGGTTTACAGATAATGCAGTCATCATTACAATAACAATATTTTTTGATGGCTCTTTTCCTTTATCACTACCTACTTGGCTAATGAATCAGATCACTCTGATTTGCTTTTATGGAAATTAGAAAATTTAAATAGCACAAGAGAGAATAATTTCACCACTTACCTTTGCACCTGGTTCTCCCTGCAGGCCAGGTTCTCCTTCAGGGCCAGGAGGTCCCTGCACAGTACAAGAGCTACTGTTACACATGGTCATCAGTAATAATTTTGCAGCCACCAAATAATACAGCCAAAATTGAAGCAGAAAAATGGCATGAGACACTGGGAGAGATGCATGTCTGAAAAATCAAATTAAGACAACACAGTTCTTTGTTCTCACTAGAGCCCAACAGAAGAAAAGAAAGGATGTTATAGGATGAGTTCAGGAACTGCACTGTGGCCCAGGAATGTATTGAAGACTCAGCAGTACCACTAAGCCGGTACCTTTCATCATAAATTACTAGCAGGCTGAGCAATCATCTATCTTTTGTAAATCTGACTGACAACTTCATCACTGTTTAGGCTTGGAGCCAAGTAGATACAGCGTTCAGAGAACAAAGCCCTTTTTGGAGTCTTCAGCCCTTACATTTAAACCTTTTTTTAATAGTCAGTCAGACAACTGGATTTTGAGTGACTGAGGAAGCACGTTTCTTTGAATAAGCCAAATCCCTTCTGTTCTAAGTGAGCTCACCCCTCAGCTACTTCATTACAAATGTGGCTAATACAATCTGTCCTATTTCTTTTAAAGAGATATTAAAAACAAAGCAAAAAATAGAAACAAAAGTTAGCAAGAAGACTGTCTGCAGCTGCTTTCTTCATCTACGATTTGCAAGGACATATGACTAATGCTCTTCTACTGTCTAACTGCAAGGAGAATGGTTTGCTCAACTAAACATTCACCTTCTAGGTGCAGATGTCATGAATGTATATCCAAAGACACGGCTTACAACAGAAAAAGCTACTGATTTTAGACTTTTTTTTTTCATAACAGCTTTAAGTAAGAGAGTCTCTCAGCAGCTCATGGTATTTAAGTTAGGTGCAGGTAATTAAAAAAAATAGTTTTTAAACACATTGTCCAGGCTTATTCAGGTGCTTGAGTGTTTGTAACTACTATATAAATGGTTAAAAGCTCACCTCAAAACCCATTTCTCCAATAGGGCCACCATCCCCTGGTTGTCCTCTTGGACCCTGGCATTAAACAAAATTTTGGATGCATTATTCAATTAGCATTAAATTACGTTCTTTAGTCTTGACTTTGTCTCTTCAGAACTCTTCCAATCTTTCATTTTCTTTCCTCCTGAATTCAACAGTATATACAAGTATCATGATGGCATACAGTATCGAAGACCTCATTGCCAATCTTGACACACTGAAATAACATATTTCAAATAACAGCAAAAGCACAGATGGCTTTTCTTTTAGACCAAAAGTAAATTATTATCTAAACTGAGCTCTCCTCTTGATTAACTGAGACTTTGTTTAATTAAGGTTTGTTAGACTGTCTGGTTTGCTTTGTGGAAAAGCCTACAGTCTGGTGTGGAATTAACTGAAAACAACTACTGTGTGCTTCACTATGGATTTAGCAATGTTTATAGAGGACAATCACTGAGGTGTAATGGACTAAAGACTGGAGCCTTTTTGGTAATATTAGTAACTATACTATGAGCATTTTCCTATAAGCCCTATCCTAAGTAATACATTTGTTGCAGTAACACGTAGGGATCATTTCCTAAAGTGGCATGCTCAAATTCTCTGCACATGTTAGATTATCCATCTCAGCTCACAGAGTGGGATTTGTGTGCTGAGGGGTAAAGGTTGCCTGTTACAACTTACAGCTGATTCCATAGCCACTATGAACGTATGTCAAGACAAATCAAGCCTCTGGATGTATCCAGTGTTTGAACTTTCAGAAAGTTCACATCCATTTACCCCTTTGGGACTCATCTGTGCCTAAGTATATTCTAAATTCAAAACGTGTTGTTCATCTATTATTCTCATGTAAAAGAAAGATGCCGCTACCCACATTTATGACAGAAGCCTTTTAAGCAAATATTTACTCTTTTTTTGTTTCACTTCCTCTTACAAACTATGCATATGGTTTCGCTCCTCCTGATGACTTGGCAGTGATAATGCGATTATATTCTTCCCTTGTAACCACAATGTAAACTGTATATTACTGACAGGATTTCAGCAGAAGCATGTATTTTACCCTATAGCTTCATTTAAGTGCGAATGACTGAAGCTGCAGTTAATTTCTCATTGAGAATTCACTTGGTCCTACACTAAGTCCATCAGTTTTCATTCCTACCACACCATGGCATTCCACTAGGCAAGTGTCACAAAGCTTAAGTTCGATGCATAACATTATCATGGAGTTTTCTGCTGGATTGGTAATGTAACTTTCCCCTGAGACTTTCAGGGAATTTCAGAAGCCAAAAATGTATAGCAATATAGTGACTCCTTTTAACCCTTAACAACAGGTAATATGCAAAGAATGATTTTACTGAAATGCCTGACTGGTAGGTAAAGTTAGAATGTAATTTAGATCAGGCCTGTTAGTACAAATAGTTCTAATCACTTACGTTTCTCTGCTCCACAATAATTAGGGTTTTTCTGCACTGTGCAGAGCTAGTGTAAGGGCCAGAGAAACTGCTTCAGCAGCTGGCTTTCATGTAGTGACCAGCTGACAGAAGATGAAATCAAGCTGCTTGGATGGGCAGTTAAAAAAAGAGCCACGTGTCTCATTTCATAACATCTTGTGTCATTTTCATCACTTCTTTCTAGCTTCACAGATGTTTTTCCAAAGACATTTTATTCTTTCAGCACTTGAAAGAAAAGGTACCCTGTTCATAGGATAAGCTTTTCTTACCTCTGACCCTGCAAGTGTAGATTCTACGATGATGAGCACAACAGAAATGTAGGTTGCTCAAGAATAGACCACTTGGATTAGATAAAGCTGATAGTCATTCTGTATATATATAAAAATTCAGACTTGACCAGAAAATGGCAGGAATTTTACATATAAGCCTTGCATTGTAAGGCTCTCAGATGTCACAAGATTAGACAAAATAAATGAAAGAGACAAAGTGACAGGAATCCAATAATTACTGTTAGGAAACACTTTGTCTGTTGAAACATTTTGCCACTCCTACAAGTTGGCAGCTCAAGTTAAGTAGACAATTATATCCAAAAGAAAATTTACCACAATAAATGTTGGTATTTTTCTAGCCCCCAAAAATGTCCAATGGCTTTCTGTAAGCATGTCAGCCTATGAATTAGTAGAAGTAATATTTAATAATATTAGAAATAATGATAATTAGTAGAAATAATATACTTGATATCAACAGTTCACTTTCAAGATTTATATTAACTCTATGTCATTTGATGTGCAAAATAACTTTTCAGAAGCAATGAAAACACACAATTTTTGACAACTCTATTAGATTTTCACACTATGGGAGCCTTCTCCCAAGTCCCCCTAGGACAGCACATACTCTTTCACTGTATTTCTATAATCTGATTTACCCCCAGAGATGGTGATGCAATACTATTCCTGTCATGGCTACATCTTGCAGCACTTTGCATATATTTGCTGCAGATTCTGCATGATCTTCTGTTACAATATTACCCACATAAAAGTGAGTGTGGCTTTGAAATAATAACAATCAGAACAAGAATCCATCCAGCAGAGGAACATCTGAGTTTTATAGTAACAGTCTCTTTTTTTTGTTGAAAATTTAACCTGCCAAACAGATGTGGTCCCTGAGCTCCTGAATAACGATCCTAAAATTTGCCTGAAAAAAATACCACTAATATCTGTATTGGCACATACATTTACATAATCCATAATGTAGATGTCTACCTCAATGCAGCGTAAAGCCACATAACATTGTGGTCCAGATTCTTTCATGCTTTCTTATGTTGTGCACTCCTTACTTATGAACAAGTTATGCTAAGCAAGTGAGCCAGACTCTAGCCATGCAGTTTTGGAACAATTACCCCCCAATTCCTATCTAACCACAGCCAGCAACACTGAATCTTGGTAAAACAGAGCTTGAGTTACTAGGGAATTCAGTATAATATGTGGGAAAATTTTTAAGCAGTCACAAGGATCAACTTACTGGCTCTCCCATTGGTCCCCTGTCTCCTGTGGTTCCAGGAGGTCCAAGCAAACCCTGGAAGATTAAAATAAAATAAAAAATAATTGGAAACAAGCTGTTTCATATTCTGTGAAAAGCCACTTCCTCTCTTATTTCTGTTCACTCAATAACTTACTCAGAAACACCCAAGAAATAGATGCAGCCTTTTCTTCCAGTTGACATGCATTGCCACATCACTAGCTCCTGTGGCAGGCGAGGGAGCCCTGAACAAATCCTTCCTCAGTTTCTTTTACAGAGGGGTGGATCTTAGCTGACTCACCATTTACCAGTTCCTCATCATTCTCCTTAGACTCATGTGCTGCCTGTGTGCGCAAACTGGGCCTAAACACAATGGTAGGAGTGTCCTGCCCTACAAACTGTATTTGAGATGATCAGTAAGGTTCACAGCCCACTTTTCTTTCTGCTCAACCTAGCTCATAGCATATCTGTATCATACTCTCTCTAGAAACTGTAGCTGTAGGAGTAATAGAGCAGTATCTTGTACTTTGCAATAAACATACTAAATCCCAGCATTTCAACCTAATAAAGTTTTGCTTCATTCATTTCTGTATATATAAATACATCTAAAAGTCCTAGTGAATGAAGAAGACATGAAACCCTATCATGTCAAAGGTGAGAGGCAACAAGCTCCTAAATTTGAGCAGAAAAGGCAAGAGAAGTACAGTGATAATCAACATTTTGAGTCTCAATTTCAGCACAAAATCACCACCATTACTGCTTGTTTCTGTTTTTCCGCTTCCTTCTGTATTGAAAATCCAACACAATTTGGACTGACTGGTAACCTTCTTTATGAAAGAAAGCCTCAAATAGAACATGTTAGATTTCCATTGAAAGAAGCCCTAAAAGAATTTTCTCCTATACATGCGATATACATTTTACACATTTTTCCACATTTATCCCAACATTGATAGTACACATCTACTCTAAAATCTATCAAAGAATTGTTTTTCTATGTCACAATGACTTGCTCCCTTAAAACTACAATAAAACAAAAAAACCAAAGCAACTTCTAGGACCCACTCTACTAACTACAATGGTCGTTTCTTCTGCTGCAATTTGCTATCATATTGTATTCTGTGGACCATCGTTCATGAAAACACTGGTCTTATAGCAGACTAAACCATGTTCACACTTACTCTCACTTCTGCTCCTGATTCTTTGCATGAATAAATGCAAACCATACAGTCAGAGTTTTCCAGCTTCTCTAAAGCAAACAAATTCCCTCATACTTGAGTGTGAAATAAAGTATGAGATTTTGTGGATTTTGGGGGGCAGAAGTACTAGAGAATTTCATACTTACAAGTGCACCTTGATCTCCTCTTTCTCCTGGATTTCCAGCTTTACCCTGGTCAAACAGAAATATTGAAAGACAAATGATGGCTTCAGGCTTCAGATAATTTCCAAAACACAGCTCAGAAATCAGTAGTAACTGTGTCAAGGAGTACTACAAAGATTGGCTCCAATACTTACAATGAGCCCAGGAACTCCTTTCTTTCCTGGATCGCCCCTTTCTCCCTGACAAATAACCAACAATACGTGAATTCTATGTGCATTTGCTAGATAAGCTGCATACAGTTACTGTCAGTTTAAATGCAGGGTAATTCTACAGAAAGTGTAAATTCAGGCTTAGATGGGCTTATACCATAATAAGGAAGTACCTGAAGAAGGCAGAAATTCACAAATCTCCCCCTGGATTAAATGGAACATTATGGCTTCTGAGGTGTTGGGTTGTTTTTTGGTTTGTTTTCTTATCTGTTATGGTCTGTCTCAATGTTTTGTGTAGTACTGAGCAATGCAAACACTCACCTTAATGCCTTCTGTTCCTGGTTCTCCTGGAGGACCGTCTAGACCTCTTGGCCCCTGAATATTGAACAAGTGATTTGGAATATTAATTATGCATTATTTTTTGTTATCATCAGGAAGATGCAACACAAGCTTTAGGAGAGGGGAAACATGTTTGCTTAGCATGAAAACCAATTTTCATTGTATGTTAAGTGTGAAATAAAGCTTCAAAGAATAAAATAAGTTCCTGGTTTGCTGAAATATGAATTTAAGAAAAAAGATTTTTTGAAAAATATGTAAACAAAACGTTCAAGTCTCTCTGTTGGAGCCAGCCTGCAGGCTGACATTTTCTACTCTCTTTTCTGTCTACTTTGTATGCACGCAACTAATACATATTTGGAATAATTTAGGTAAGCACTGGTTATATGGAGCGCTTGCTTTTAAGCATATTATAAGTTGTATATGCAAAAATCCAGCTTGCTAGTAAGACTCTAAAACAGGCAGATAGAGTTCTTCCATTAGTAAACCAGTTTGAGGTAAGATTAAAAGCAATTTATAATCTTGCATAATGAATTGCCCTATTGATAGACTAAAATGTCTCTTGTAAAGCGACTTTTTATAACCAATAGATGAACAAAGATAACCTATTATATTAATGTATTACAATATAGCAAGTATTTATTGCCAAAACATTCAGAAGTTATTATTTAAGACTGGAAATCTAAATCCATTAGTTTACAAACAAATTAAAACCCCTTAAAATAGATCATGAGCAAAATGGAAAAGAATATTTTACTCATGCTGACTTAGGAGGTTATTTCCATAATTCTAAACACCATGACTGTTTGGGTATGGAAAATAAAATTAAAACCAGTTAATAACAACCTAAAACTAATGATCACTTTAAAGCAAGAACTAGATAAGCATCAAGACAGAGCCAGGCTCTTTACAGCAGTGTGCAGTGGGAGGATGAGACACACCAGCTTTCATAGTGGCATCTGGGCTTGGCTGGCATCAGAGGGAACTAGTACATTGCTATAGCAGAGCCTAGAGGAAAACGACCTGCATTTTCAGAGTGCATTTCCGAGTTGTACAGAACCTTACATCTTGGGTCATGGTTTACAGTGCAGGGCATGCAATCATGACTGATTTCCAGTGAGTTATAACACTGTTCTAATAGGTAATAATAGAGGCTTGTAAAATGACTTTGTTGGAAGAACATCTGATTTTATTTAGATTACTTTCCCCTCAAAAATGTCTGCCACTTCCTTGTTCCTCTTGAATTTTTTGAGACAAAACATAGCAGACTTCTGTTCTCTCTGACTTGGATTTACTGATGCGCATCAAAACCTCTGTCAGAACAGATGGTGAGCACCCACTCACTTCTCTCTGGAGCGACAGTGAAAATGCCTGACTGGTAACTCAGGAACAGTGTGTACCCAGAATCATTTAGGCTTTCCTCCTGAAACAGAAGCCTCTCAAGAAAAGGCCTTTCCTGTGAGGTGATATATAATTACAACCCCTGGCAGATCCAGAAATATCCCAGGAGAAACTCATCTGTCAGCATTTCAGGACTGCTGCTTCTGGCCAGCATGAGGTAACACAGAAATGGAAAATGAACAGGCAGGGAAAGTTGTCTGAATAATTTTGATACCTCAGGTAGTTTGGGGGACTGCTTTTGTGAGGCAATCCTTGGGTTACCCTGGCCATCTTTCCTGTTTTGGTCTAAGCCAGGACTGAGTATTTACAAGCACTTTTTTAAGCTAGAGTAGAAAAGAGGCTACAGAAGATGACACTCTGCGTTGCTGCATGGGTCTCGGTGAGAAAGGTCCCAAACCAAAGGATACTGAAGTCTGGTGACTTCAATGCGCTCAGAGATCAGAACCAAAACACTAATGGTGTTTTCAAGGGCGATGGAGGCCTTTATAAGAACAGCAAGACTGGGCCTCACATCAAGATTATGTAAATGTGTAAGCCCCATTATTGAATTATTATACAGCATAATTTAAAAGAAAGCTAAACATCTTGATCAAATTAATGTCAAGTTGCTGCTCTGCACTTTTTCTGTAACTGCTATCTATAATGCACACAAAATAGGTTGTGATGAAAATTCAAGGCAGACTAAGCAGGTTTAGAGTCCCATGATCTGACATTCATTTCAGGTGAAGTGTCTCAAAGAACAGGAGGAGAAGGGACAGAAGGAAATTTTGAGATGGAGTGAGAACAGGTCATTAAGCTGGAGCATAAAAGAGGAGAGAAGCTCATGGAAGAGCTGCAGAGGAATCACCTAGGGCAACATAGGAAGGGAGAAATTGAGACTGTTAAGCTGAGCAATTGCAGGATAGTTTTAGTGTTTCTCAGACTCTTTAGATACATGACCTGTCATTTGTCTTTGTGCATCCTCCACAGGGCTGATCAGGTGACAGAATCTCAAGATGAAATATTCAAGGAGGAAAAAGGACACGTTTTGATTGTACAAATTTGTGTAACAAAGAAATTTCTTTCTAGGTTTTATCTTCTATCATTAATAATATTAGCAGACAAATTGTTTGAACACTTGCGACTTCCTTTTAATCATAAAAGGGGTCATAGCCCACCGTTTGAGAAGTGGTCCTGTCAGGAGACTGCATAGGATTCTCAGTCTGTGTTATGCACACGACACACCAAAACCTTTCTGCTAGTCACACAGATCTCCCCTTCAATGGAGTTCGCATCGACAGCCCAATCACTACGAAGAGAATGACAACTGATTTGAACAGTAATAATCAAGTGAAAAGGCCAACCTTCTACTATATAGTTTTTAACTGAAAACAACGTAATAGAAACCAACATGATGCTCAGCTTCTGGCTTTGGGCCATGCCTGCCTTTAGTCTACCTTTAATGAGCAGCGTGCAGAAATCCAAGGGAAAGGCAATTCAATATTCTAACAAAAGCACACCATACATTCCTATAAATAGTATGGTGTGACTCATTATTGGCACAGATTAATTGGATCTGTATAATTTCCTACTATAGCTAGTACAGAATGAGAGATAGATGATTTGCCTGTTGTTACTTAATTTAGGTTGCAAAAGAGCCGAGGAGTAAGGCTGCCAAACAATGGCTACCACTTTTTTCTTCGGCATGAGTTCAGCTTTGTTTTTAAAATTAAATGTATTACACTGAAAACTCTAGGATGAGCTGAGAAAAAGTTCATCTAAGAAGGCAAGAAGCATTAATTAACTCTTTTTGTTCTTTCTTATCCTACCTCCTAAATATAAGAAGAGTGAAAATAACTTAAATACACTATGTAGCTACTTTTCTTTTTTGGTGGTTGACATGGAAGAATATTAGAAAATGACATAAATTTTAGTCTCATTCCTTTGAACAATTAAGAAAGATAAACATACTCAGCTATTGATGTATCACAAAGCACACTGGTCACTTATTTCACATAACTCTGAAGCACACACTTTTTTCTAGGTTCCATACTCCCTGCTGTGAGAAGTATGAAAGATATCATTCATTAAAACTGAGAGCTGATGTCCTGAGGTAATTGAGGTTCTTCACGCCAGTATAGACACAACTGAAGCAGAGATAACAATACTGGCTGCTACAGACATAAGCTGCTGTTGCCTGATCCCAAATTTATGGCACTTCAGTATGTCATTTATCTGCATTTTCAAAATTGAATTTCATGAGCTGCATTCCAGGAAAAGTAAGAAAGTAAAATTATTGCTTTTGAGCTTTAAAACACCTAACATCAGCCTGAAGAATACTAACTGTTAAGAATCTTCGCAGCTATTGAGAATTTTGCTTAGGTCTCACTCATGAAATTAATCTAATGACACAGGCTCTCTTCCTCTTAAATTAAAAGCTACAGTTGTATTAGTCAGAGATTATGGTATGAACTAAAAGCAGAACCAGTCTCTGACATTGTGGTTTTCTTCTCCATACATTAGCAAACAAGAACAAAAAAAAAACATGCAACAATGGCTTCACGGCTGCCTACACTGCTACCAGCGTGTCTTCCAGACTCATGTATTCCTTCTGGTCATGGAGAGAAACTACTTCTTTTAGATACAGATATTCCCACCCCCCAGAGTGTCATTCTGCCACTGAAGTATCTACAAAGAGATGTTCTCTCTCTGTGTTTTCATGCTATTAACACTAAAAAATAAAGTGTGGGTCACAAAAGGACCCAGCCTTCCACCTGATTCCAGCTGAGGTGCATCAAGTCTTGAGCACGAGCTGAGGAAGCTCTGTGTTAGCACTATGCTGTGACATGGCCCCCACAGATCCCCTCACAGCGAGATACTCCAGAGACTCCCAGACAGCCTGCCTTTAAGTGGCCAGAACTCCCAAGTGTACCAGATACTGAGCAGCTGGATACTCTCAGGCAGAAGTAGGCTGCTGGGTCATCTTGGATGCAAAGCAGTTGCTGAAAGGTTCAGAATTTATGAGATGAAGGAATTGTACTCTCTGACCACGCAGAATGACCAGAGCGTCAGTGCTTCTTCGACTTCCTGCAGATTCCAGCTGTGAAGACAGGATACATTCTTGTTTCAGTATACAACAAAGGGGAATTTCCATATGCTTCTATTTAACTTCCGTGTGTGATGGTGGTATGCATTTTTCTGAGGCCTGCCACACAGAGCTCAGGGTTCTGACACTTCTCTTTCTGAATCCAGTGATGACAAACCCCAGGTTTCAGGGGCCCTCAGATATTTTCCTTATTTGAGATTCCACTTTGGGTCTGATATTTTGATCTTGAGAGCAGACAAAATTCTCAGTGGCTCCAGTGGGAATTTCTTCATAGAGCCTGAAGACCTGGGTATGCTCTGAGACCTCCTGCCATGAATCATTCCCATTCATGCTAGATGGAGGCAAAGGCATAAACCACAGCTTCAAACTGGCACTTCCACAGAGCTTGGGATGTTTGGGGTCTATTTTGAGTGATCTTTAATTATAAGCAATGTACTCCATGATGTACTGCCAAAATCATAGAGACAGACTCCCTCAAAGATTCCTGTCTCAGTTGGCAGAAGATGCGACACTCCTTAAATAAAAGCTACCTTCTACCTTCAAAATAGAATCTAAATCAAAATAAGTCATTTCTCCCCTAGATACAATCACGAGGTAGCAAATGCTGCTGGGAGGGAGGAGAGCCTGCAGAGGAGGACTCACATTCATGTCAGTACCTTGGCTCTGACTCCAGCTCCGGTGATGCTGGCAGATGGACTTGCCAGGAGGGAAGGATCAGAGGAGATTAGAGGGAATGCTATGTCCAGGGGAATTAAAATGTACGATGTGCAGCAGTTCAGTACCAATCTCGGAGACAACTATTTACACCAAATTACTTTCGAGCTAGTCTAACTCACTGCGCCCTATAGGCCACCAGTCAAACTGAAACGCCAGTGGACTAATAGGGCCCAAGGGCTTTTCCTTTTTAGACGAAGCTCAAACATCAGCATTTTACAGTGAAAATGACTGCATATGTGTACTCCTCATCTGATGCCACTGGCTGCTGTGTCCTGATTCAGCATAACACTTCATCATGTATTTCACCTTCAG